AGTGGGTATAATAAAGTTTAAAATCGGTAAAAGTCCGGGATTTGCGAGCAGGGTAGGTGACGGAGATAAGTATAGGGGGAATTTATGTAAAATTGATGGTTAGTGTGTAAAAGGTTGCATTTTGCGGTGTAAGCTGGGGGGAAAGGATACCGGGCACAGCAGACAGGCGTTAGATTCCCCCCCCGGCCTATGCGCCCGCGCCCCAACACGCCACCCCCGTAGCCACCCCCCGGCAACCCCCCCCCCGACCCGCCCCCCTCCACGCGGCCCCACCCCCTCCCCCCGTCCTGCCCCCCCCCCCCCCCCCCCCCCCCCCCACCCCCCCCCCCCCCCCCCAACCCCCCGCCCCCCGCCCCCCCCCCCCACACCCCCCCCCGCCCCCCATCCCCCCCCCCCCCCCCCCCCACGCCCCCCCCCCCCCCCCCCACGATAGGGGGTCAGAGGACTTGTGGGGGGTCGGAATAATGAGGGGAAGTATCGTGATAGTGATTGTGGTTTTTGTAGCGCTTTTTAGATGGAAGTTGTCGTTTTTGACTATTGCATTTTAGTTGATCCTTGGTTTTTTGTTGTTTTTCTCCTCTCTCTCCTTCCTCCTTCCGCTCCGGGACGCAACGATCCGTGCTACTGTGGCAGCGGCAAGAAGTTCAAGTTCTGCCACGGCCGCTGACGAGCCGCGCGGGCATCACGACCTCATGCAGATCCTGGTAACCAACGACGACGGCCCGGCTTCTCCGCTCGTGTCCCCGCTGATCAGGGCCGCGGCGTCGCTGGGGACGGTGACGGTGGTCCTGCCCGCCACCGAGCGGAGCTGGACCGCGAAGGCGATGACCCGCTACGCCGACCTGCCGCTGGCGCGCCGCGACCACCCGGATCGCGACGGCAACGCCGTGAGCGGCTTCACCCTGGGCGGCACGCCGGCCGACTGCGTCAACGCCGGTTGCTACCTGCTCGGTCCCCGGCCACCCGATCTGGTGCTGTCCGGCGTGAACGCCGGTGAAAACACCGGTGTCTCCTACGCGGCCGGTTCCGGCACCATCGGCGCCTGCCTTGAGGCCAACATCGCGCTGGTCCCGGCGATCGCCCTCTCGCAGCAACTGACCCCGGCGGGATTCGCGAGTTGGGCCGCGCCGCGCGCCGGCCGAGCCGGGAACCGAGCTAGGAGACGCGCTCGCGCAGCTCGACCGCTTGCTGCCCGCGCTACTCGCCGATCTGCTGCCTCGGCCGATCGCCCGGGAACGCGAGCCCGGTACCCGACTCACTCTGGAGTGTGAACATCCGTCGCGGTTGTCGCGGATTGGCGGCTGGTGCCCTGTGCGCTGGAGCGCGCGCGCTACGGCTCCTGTTTCGAGCGGCATGGCGACGTGCTTCGACACGCGGGGGCTGCCGCGATCCGCAGCCCGGACCGCGGCGCCGACATCGACGTGCTTGCGAGGGGATCCGTCAGCCTGACCCGCATCGATCTGTGGGGCCCGGCCCTGGGCCAAGAGGTTGTCCCCGACTGATCGCCGCGAAGGTGCGAGCCTATGGGCTGGCCCGTTTACAGCGGGCACCTCCGAGCCGGGGATTGATCGGCTGCCGCCGGCGTTCCACACTCGAAGTGGAATGATGGGGGCCGCGTTGACATCCCGGTCACGATCCCACGCGGCCGATCGTGTTGCCGGTGCTCACCACGCTCGCCGACGCGGACGTGGACGCCGACAGGTGCGCGTACAGCGACTGGTACGGCGCTGCCTGATGGTCGAGCACGACGAAGTTCCCACGGACGTTGTTGCTCGCCCACCCGCTCGACACGGCCGTCCGGCGGCCCGCACGGACGCGCGTCCGCGCGGCGACGCGATGTCGATACCGCGTGCACTGCGCCACTTGCCGCTGAAGGGATCGAGACGCGCATCCGAACGTCGGAGCTCACCCCGGCCGCCGTGCAGCGGCCGGTCGAACCCCAGACCATCCTCAGCAGGTACGCTCCAGCCGGAGTGCTGGGCACCGGGGAAAAACCGCGAACGCGTGACCGACTGCGGCGGCGACTCCGGAGCTTGGCGCCAGCACGTCGCTGCCCGCCAGGCCGTAGCTGGCGGCCACGGTCTCCAGGTGACCGGCTTGCACGTCCCGAACGAGCCCGTCCTGCATTCGGGATGGCAAACACGCGCCAACGACGCCGACGTTGTGGACGCCCGAGCCGGCGTCGTCGCGATTGAGCTGGAAAGCCAGCGGGTCGCGCGTGAGTCCGAACCGGTCCTGGATTCTCGACCCAGATTTGTCGATCGGCTGCGCCACCGTAGCGCATCGTGGCGATGGGCAGCGCCACGCTGCGGCGCCGCGCGCCGGATCGCGCTGGCAGGACGGTCCGCACGGGCACCGCAGGCGCTCGTGCAGAACCTCGACCATCGATCCGCAGATGCAGGTAGTACGCGCGCTCAAGGTGGCGATCCCTTCGTCCGTACAGTCCGCCGATTGCGCGGCAATCAGATGACGACAGGACCATGATCACATACTCTGGCACCGCGATTACCACCTCTGAACCAGCCCTCCACGAGCGCATGAGATGCTACGTGCAGATAGCGGCTCGTCAACAGGCTCGCCGGCTTGAAGATCGAAAAGTGCAGTGCTGTAGTGCGCCGTAGCCGGCGGACCCTAGCGTAGCGAGGACTTGGCCTTGGGCGACCATGCCTGCGGCCGGCGAACTGTGCGCGCGCGTGACAGATGCGCGTAGAGCGTCTGGTAGCCGTCGGCATGTACCAGGACCAGATACGCCGTAGTTGCGTGACACACACCGGCGCGACTCGCCCAGGCGGCATGGAGGCGATGACGGGTGGGCGGGCTCGTACTCGATGTCGATGCCGTCGTGGACGCGGCCGATGCGCGGTTACCGGGTCAGTGATGATACCCGTAGGCGTGTGATGTCGTCCCCGGCGCCGGCTGGAGGCACACGGCGACGAGCACTGGCGTTTCGCTCGTGATCCGAAGCGACACGCCGGGTATGAACAGTTTCTGACCGACGTCGATCGCAGACGATCGCAGGTCGTTCCAATCCAGCAACTCGTCAGCAGCACCCCGTGCCGGGCGGCGATGTCGGTCAGCGTATCGCCCGACGCACCACGTAGGCCAAGCCCGACGCGCTCGGTATGACAGCATCCACGCCTTCCCGCAGCTCGCTTACGTCGCGGATGCCGTTTGAAGCTGATCAGGGTATCGAGGTCGATGTGGAAGGTGTGCGCGCATCTCCGACAGCGAGTCGTCGGCCTGCACCCGGTACGATCGCAATGACAGGGACGGAACAGATGAACTCGCCTCAACCCCCTGCGGGCGCGGAGCAGGTGTCACATGTTCCCGGTAGAAGGAGGGTGGTCGGCGTCCCCGGACCGGACAGCGTCAGCTGTTTCCTGCGGCCACGACCGCGGCGATCACCAGGCTGGCCGGCACGACCGCCGCGCCCGTGGCCAGGCGGCGATCACGGCGTGGCGCAGTCGACCGTGGAGCCGGCCGCGCAGCCCGGCTCCACCACCGAGCAAACAGAGGAACGCCGCGCTCCCGGCCGCCGGCATCCGCTGCTCGGTCGCAACGATCATCAACTGCGCGGCTCTGCCCGGCTGAACACGATGGTCCGTCGATCCCGGCTCGGCGCGGGACGGGGCTTGGGGCGTTCGACTCCTGAGCTCGCGCACAACGCGGCGCGGACCGGTCCGCGTGCGGCATTTTCTGTCGGTGCAATGCACTACACGTCATCTGTATCGACAGATCCGGAGGCACCTATACACTGCTTGGGACTCGACGCACCGATGTTGGAAGCGCGCGAACGCTACCGCATGTGGACAGTGATCATCGGCCTGGGCGTCTTCGCCGTGCGATCGACGCACGGTTCGTCTGGCTGATGATCGTGCAGCGATGCCCGATCCGCGCTCCGCAGTGCTCCCCGCCGACGTCGAACGCGGCCGATCCTGGATCGAAACGGGCGCCTGCTGGCGATCACCACGCGTCTCGATTCGGTGGATGTGTGGCCGGCGGACGTGACCGACCCCGCGTGGACCGCCGCATGTGCTCAGCGAGGTGCTCGGGCTCGACCGTTTCCCTATTGGAAGACCGGCTGCGGAGCGAAAACCCGCGTCGCCTTTGTCAAGCGCCAGATCAGCCCGACCAATCGGCGGAGTTTGCGGGCCTACCTGCAAGCCGGAGAGCTGCGCGGCGTGTCGCTGAAAACCCGAGTTTCGGGGCGCGCCTATCCGGAAGCAGGAGCTGGCCAGCCATGTGCTCGGCTTCGTCGGGGTCGACAATGTCGGACTGGCGGGGATCGAGAACACCTTCAACCACGTCCTGTCTCCGGCGGTCATCCGGCGGGGCACAGCAGGTCGTGGCGCGGTCATCAGGTGGTGCTGACCATCGACCTGAACGTTTCAGTACGCGATCGAGCAGATCGCGGTGCGGCAGCGCGCACCGCGCATCGCGCCGACTGGGTGACGATTCCTGGTCAATGGAGCCGAACACGTCGAACATGCTGGCCTACGCCACGTCACCTGCGTTACGACCCAACTCCTTCGGTAGACCGCTGAGGAGACCCGCACAACCGCCCCGTCGCGGTCGCCTACGAGCCCGGGTCGTGTTCAAGGTGTTTCTCATCGCGTCGCTGCTCGAGCACCGAGCAGTGACACCGGACGACACCCTTACGTCCTGTCACGCCATGATACAACTACCCGCCGCACGCCGCGGGGCGGGACCATCCGCCTCAGCGACCTCCGTGCCCACGGCACGATCACCACCGCGGACATCATCCTGTATTCGTGCACGCCGGCGCCGCCTACGCCTCCGATCGTATCGACGACGAGGGGTTCATGCCGCGCTCAGCGCGTTCGGGTTCGGCGCTCCGGCCGACCTCCGTTCTACGGAGAGACCGCCGCATCTTCCACGACGGCGCTCGACGTCGCTGGTCCTGCGCATCCACGCCGACCGTGGCGATCGCCAGGACGGGTCGCCGTGTCGCGGCGGTGCAGATGGTGCGCGCGCGCCAGCGTGATCAGCCACGACGGATGATGATGCGGCCACATCTCGTCGCGTCGAGTGGTCGCCCTGAAGCCGACGGCACCACCATCAATGACTTTCCCGCCCTGAACCGCTTCGGCAAGTCGTGAAGCCCGAGATCGCCCGCACCGTGCTGGCGATGATGGAACGGGCGACCGAGCCCGGCGGGACGGCCGTGCTGGCACGCGTTCCCGGTCTGCGCGTATCCGGAAAGACCGGCACCGCGGAGCTTCTGGACGAGAGCACCGGCACCTACTCCGAGGATGCGGTGATCGCGTCGTTCCTGGCTATCGCGCCGACCGATGACCCGCGGGTGATCTTCTACGTCGTGATCAACAATCCGCGCGGACCCACGCGCTACGGCGGCCTGATTGCAGCTCCCCTGTTCGCGGAGGCGGCGACGTTCCTGGTGCCGTACCTGTCGTTGTCGAACGCCGACACGCGGCGCGTGCAATACGCGGGCGCCGTCACGGAGCAGGCGCCGCCCATCTCGCCGGGCGCGACCGCGATCGGCGACTATCGAGGCATGCCCAAGCGCAGCCTGTTGCCGCTGCTGACGACAGCCGGTTACGCGTGCGCCTGATCGGCAACGGCTTCGTGCACGCACAGAGTCCGCCGCCGGGCACGCCGATTACCGATGGCCTGGAGGTGCGGATCACCCTGCGCTGACAGCGGTGTCCCGGATCAGCCCGACCCTGTACGCACTCTCAGATGCCGCGTTTGACGTTGGTGAGCTTCGTACGCAGCCGCAGACGGGCTTTGGTGTGCAACTGTGACACGCGTGACTCGGTCACCTCGAGCACCTGCCCGATCTCCTTGAGGGTCAACTCCTCATAGTAGTAGAGGGCGAGAACCTGCTGCTCGTTCTCCGGCAGCTCGTTGATCGCCTCGACGATCACCCGCCTCATCTCTTCCCTCTCGGCGATGGTCGCGGGACCCGATTCGCTCGGCGATTCGATGTTGTCCTCGATGGAGACGCGATCCTCGTCCTCGCCGCCGTGCCACACGTCGTTCACCGATACGACCGCAGTGCCGGCGATCCGTACCAGAATCCGCTGGAATTCCTCCACGCTGACACCCATGCTGACGGCGATCTCCTCATCGGTCGCAGCGCGCCCCAGGCTTGCTTCCAGCCGCGGACCGCGTCCTCCACCTCGCGCGCCTTCTGCCGGACCGAGCGCGGCACCCAGTCGATCGCGCGCAGCTCGTCGAAGATCGCGCCCCTGATGCGAGTGACCGCGTAGGTCTTGAATTTCACGTGCTTGGTGGGATCGAACTTGCTGATGGCGTCGAACAACCCGAACATCCCGCACTGCACCAGGTCGTCGAAGTCGACGGCGCTGGGCATGCCGATCGCCACACGGCCCGCCACGTACTTCACCAGCGGCGCGTACTGATGCACGAAGTACTCGCGGATGGACGGATCCCGCTGCCTGCGGTACTCGTTCCACAGGTCGTTCTCCGGCATCTTCTGCCAACGCGGATTCGCCCTGGTCACGAGCACGCCGCCTCCTGCGGATCGACGCCACGGCTCCCCCGTCCGTCGTCATCGGTCTCCCAAGCCATCGAGCTTGCACCATGCTAGCATGTATACATCAGCGCACGCAACCGCGGGCGAAAGAATGCCGGGGATGGATCGCGTATACGTTATCAGACACCAGTGGCAACACGAAGGGCTTTCGATCCGACAGATCGCCCGTGATCCGGGGGTGAGCCGCAACACCGTCCGCAAGTACGTCGGCGACGCCAGCGAGCGGCGCGCACGCGCTGGGCGGTACGATCGTCAGCGCCGTAGATCCCCGAGTCGATAGACGCGCGAATGCTGGACTTGCCGTCGGCGCGGCAGGCCGCATGACTCCTGCGACCACGCTACAGGATGAATCGTGTCAGGTCCCGATCTTCGATGATGCCGGCGAGCCGTTCGTCCACGTACTGGGCGGTTACCGTGATCTGCTGTCCCTTGGCGTCGGACGCGTGGAAGGAGACCTCTTCGAGGATGTGCTCCAGTATCGTGTGCAGCCGACGCGCGCCGATATTCTCAGTGTTCGAGTTCACCTCGCACGCGACTTCGGAAATGCGCGCGATCGCATCCGGGGTGAAATCGAGCTCCACTCCCTCGGTGCCGAGCAGCGCGGTGTACTGCTTGATCAAGGCGTTCTCCGGTTGCGTGAGGATCCGCTCGAAGTCCTCTCGGGACAGTTGCTGCAACTCGACGCGAATCGGGAAGCGCCCCTGCAGTTCGGGGATCAGATCCGACGGTTTGGACATGTGGAACGCGCCGGCGGCGATGAACAGGATATGCGTGGTGTCGACGACGCCGTGACGGGTGGTGACCTTGCCCCCTTCGATGATCGGCAGGATGTCGCGCTGTACGCCTTCACGGGAGACGTCCACCCCGTTGCGTCCCCCGCGCGAGGCGATCTTGTCCAGTTCGTCCAGGAAGACGATTCCCATCTCCTGTACGCGCTCGATGGCCATCTCCGACACCCGGTCCATGTCGACCAGGCGGTCGATCTCCTCGTTCATCAGCAACTGCCGCGCCCGCTTGATCGACGCCTTTTTCTTCTTCGTGCTCTTGCCGCCCAGGAGGTTCGGGAGATTGAAGTTGAGATCCATCTCCTCTACTCCCTGCCCGGACAGGATGGAAACATTCGGCATCTGCTGTGCGCTGAGGGTCACCTCCACCGGCCGGTCTTCCAGCTCTCCAGCGCGCAGCTTGTCGCGAAGCTTGTCGGCCGTGCTGTTGCCGACGGCCTCCGCGGCCGATGGGTCGCGCGGCGGTGCACCGCCCGAGTTGCTTGGCAGCAGCAACTCCAGCAGGTGATCTTCGACGCGGCGCTCCGCCTCTTCCTGGACGCCGGCCTGCTGCTCCGCCTTGACCATGGCGACCGCGACGGATGTCAGATCGCGGATCATGGATTCCACGTCGCGGCCCACGTAGCCCACCTCGGTGTACTTGGTCGCTTCCACCTTCAGGAACGGCGCACTGCACAGCTTGGCAAGCCGGCGCGCGATCTCCGTCTTGCCGACGCCGGTCGGCCCGATCATCACGATGTTCTTGGGCGAGATCTCATCGCGCAGTTCGCCCGGCAACCTGCGCCGCCGCATCCGATTGCGCAGCGCGATGGCGACCGCCCGCTTGGCCTTGCTCTGTCCGACGATATGACGATCGAGCTGCTCGACGATCTGCGCCGGCGTCAGCCCATCCAGGTCAACTCTCACCTTGAAGCGAAACCTCCTCGATCACGATCCGATCGTTGGTATACACGCAGATGTCCGCCGCTATCACCATCGCCCGCCGCGCGATCTCGCGAGCCGGAAAGTCCGAAGCTTCCAGGTACGCCCGTGCCGCGGCGGCGGCGTACGCTCCTCCCGAACCGATCCCGACGACCGGATGGTCCGGCTCCAGGACGTCGCCGTTGCCGGTGATCAGAAACGTGGTGTGCGCATCCCCGGCCACCAGCAGCGCTTCCAGTCGACGCAGGACCCGATCGGAACGCCATTCCTTTGCCAGTTCCACCGACGCACGCGTCAGGTCACCGCCGTACTCCTTCACCTTCGCCTCGAACCGTTCGAACAGCGTGAAGGCGTCCGCCGTGCCGCCCGCGAATCCGACCGCGATCTTGCCGCCCATCAGCGTGCGCACTTTGCGAGCGGTGCTCTTCACCACGGTCGCCTCCAGAGAGACCTGACCGTCCGCCGCCATCGCCAGCGTGCCGTCGCGACGGACCGCGACCACCGTGGTCGCATGCTGCTTCACGGCGCCGCGTCCGATCGGCGCCGGCCGGCATGTGGGTGGGCGACGGCGTAGACATCGCGGAGGCGGTCCACACTGGTATGGGTGTACACCTGGGTGGTGGACAGGCTCGCATGGCCGAGCAACTCCTGCACCGTCCGGATGTCGGCCCCGCCGTTGAGCAGGTGCGTGGCGAAACTGTGCCGGAACGTGTGCGGGGACATCGGCTTGCCGACCTGGTGACGGTAGCGGCTTACCGCCAAGCGCATGCCGCGGTCGCTCAGGGCGCCTCCGCGCCGGTTGAGAAAGACCGCGGGCTCCGAGCGGGACTCCGGATGCGCCGTGAATCGGTGCCGCAGGTATGCCTGCAGCGAGTCGACCGACGGCTGGGTCAGATAGACCATGCGCTGCTTGCCGCCCTTTCCGGTGACGCGGGCCGTACGAGCATCGATCTGGACGTCGTCGAGCCGGAGCGCCGCTACCTCGGCAACCCGACAACCGGTCGCGTAGAGGAGCTCCAGCAACGCCGCATCGCGCGCCGCCAGCAGTCCCTCTCCCGGCACCTCCAGCACGGCCGCCGCCTCATCCTCGAACAGGAACACCGGCAGCCGGGAGTCGGCGCGCAGCCCGCGCAGACCCGCGGTCGGATCCGGCGTGTCGCCGTCATAGCGCCGCAGGAACCGGTAGAATGAGCGTACCGCGCTCACGGCCCGATTCACGGACCGCGGTCCCAGGCCGTCGCGTAACAAGGAAGCGATATAGCGACGTACGGCGGCGGTGTCGACCGAGCGCGGATCATCGGTGCCGACCGACCGCAGGAAACGCTCCACTTCACGCCGATACGCACGAACGGTAGCGGGCGAGCTGTGGCGCACCGCGCGCAGATAGGCGATGAACGTGTCAACCATCCGCACCACCGTAGCAAGGTCCGGCGCCTGCCAGCTCGGAACGCAGTGACTGCGAGAGCCGCCTGCCTACCGCTGCATCGTGGCGCCGGCCGCCCGACGATCCCGCGTGCGCGCGCGCGGCGGGGTTGATGACCGGAGCGCCATCTGCCGCCAGTGCGGCGCTGCCGGCCGAACACACCGCTGCGCCCAACCCGGCGGCATGCACCAGCACCTCGCGGCCCTGATCGAGGGCGTGCTCGGCGGTGATGAGCGCTCCGGACCCTGCAGGCGCCTGAATGACGACCAGCGTCGTCGAAAGGCCGCTGATGATCCGGTTGCGGCTCGGGAAGTGATGCCGGCGCGGCTGCGTACCCAAGCGGAACTCGGACAGCAGCAGGCCGCCGGAGGCGATCAGCGCCCGCGCAACCGACACGCTCGACGCCGGGTAGATCGTGTCACGCCGGTTCCCAGAACGGCGACCGTGCGGCCCCCGGCGGCCAGGCAGCCACGATGTGCCTCTGCGTCGACGCCGCGCGCCAGCCCCGACACTACGGTCGCTCCCCGCCGCGCCGCATGAAATCCCATCTCGAAGGCCGCGCGCCGACCGGCGCCCGAAGGGCGACGGGTTCCGACAACCGACAGATGTTCGGCGGTACAGAGAAGCTCAGGATAATTGCCACGGTAGTACAGGAGAAACGGCGGATCGTAGATCGCCGTCAGCAGCGGCGGGTAGGTGCCGCTACCATACAAAATGCACCCTCCGCCAAGCTGCGTCAAGCGCGAGCGCTCCCGCTCCGCGTCCGCCAGGAACCGGCCCGGCTCCTCCGGAACGGCGCGCAGACGCCGTGACGATACCGCCTGCACCGCGCACGGGGTGAGCCCCGCCACGGCCTCCACGTCCGCGGTGCGGTCGAAGAGCCGCAGCTTCTCCGTCGCGGTCAGGCAGCCGATCCGATCGATTGCCAGCGCCGCGATGAGGAGATCCCGGTCCGGCTCGCTGCAGTGTCCGTCGGTCCCGGCGGCCTTCCCCTCCACGTGCAACGGTACGCTTCCTCCGACTAGACAACGGCAGGGATTCCGGGACGCTTTACTTTCCGGGGTGCGGCCCCCTCGGATGATGACGCCGATGCGCTTCGCGCAGATCGGCGGCGTCCAGGTGAGTATAGATCTGGGTAGTGGAGATGTCGGCATGGCCGAGCAACTCCTGCACCGAACGCAGATCGGCACCGCCCCCCAGCAGGTGGGTCGCGAACGAGTGGCGCAGCGCGTGCAGCTTGCCGGCAACTCCGGCGCGAACAGCGGCGTCCTGGAACCGTTTCCACATCCCTGCGCGCGTCAGCCGACGGCCGGAGCGGTTGAGGAACAGCGCCGCCTCGCTGGCGTCTCGCGCCAGCGCCGGCCGTCCGTCACGCAGGTACCGCTGTACCCAATCGAGCGCCGCGCCCATCAGCGGCACCAGACGCTGCCGCCCGCCCTTCCCGGACACGGTGACGAACCCCTGTTCCCGATGCAGGGAAGTCACCTGCAGCGCCACGGCCTCGCTGACCCGCAACCCGCACGAATAGATCATCTCGAACAACGCCCGATCGCGCAGCCCCGACGGGGTGCCCATGTCCACCGCTGCCAGCATCCGGTCCACCTCCGACGGGCTGAGAACGGTGGGCAGCCGCCGCGTCGGACGCGGCGGCTCGATCAACGCGGCAGGGTTGGTCTCAGCCCTGCCCTCTGCCTGCAGGAATCGATACAGGGCGCGTAGCGCGCTCACCGATTTTGCGGCGGTGCGCGCGTCGATCCCTTCCTGCTGCCGCTCAATCAGGTAGTCGATGATGTCGGCCGCGCGTGCGTCCGGCACGGAGATGCCGCGCTCGACGCAGAAGCGTTCGAAGGTGCGGCACTCCTGCCGGTACGTCGCGACGCTGGTAGCCGCCAGCGCCAGTTCCGCGCTCAGGTGGACGCCGAATTCAGCGTCGAGCTCACTCAGGGCTCGGTCTGCGCAGCGCGCTGCTGCTCGCGAAGCACCGCCGGGACGTTCAGATCGTCGTCTTCGCGCCCCCGATGGAATCCTCCGTTGCGGTGTCCGCGTCCCCCGTTCAGGCTCATCCAGTCGTCATAGGAGAACACATCGACCTCGCCGTCGGTCGGTTCCGGTTCGGGCGGCAGGGCCTCCCGATTGAAACCGGTGGCGATCACCGTAACGCGCAGCTCATCGTTGAGGTTCGGGTTGGTCGCCATCCCCGCGATCACCAGCGCGTCGTCGGAGGCTGCGGTGATGATCTTCAGCACATCCTCGTACTCGGTCAGACACAGGTCTTCGCCGCCGGTCACGTTGACCAGAATGCCCTGCGCCCCGTCGATGCGGGCATGTTCCAGCAGGGGATTGTTGATGGCGTTGGTCGCGGCATCCACGGCTCGGTTCTCGCCCGTCCCCACGCCCACGCCCATGAGCGCATCGCCCTTCTCCTTCATGACCGTGCGCACGTCGGCGAAGTCGATGTTGATCTCGCCCGGCTCGGTAATCAGGTCGGAAATGCCCTGCACCCCCTGGCGCAGCACGTCGTCGGCGAGATAGAAGGCTTCCTTCATCGAGGTCTTCTTCTCCACGACCCGCAACAGCTGTTGATTGGGGATGATGATGAGGGTGTCCACCTCCTTGCGCAGCCGCTCGATCCCCTCTTCGGCCAGCATCATCTTGCGGTTGCCTTCGAACTCGAACGGCTTGGTCACCACACCGACGGTGAGGATGTCGGCTTCTCGCGCCGTACGCGCGATCACCGGAGCGGCTCCGGTGCCGGTGCCTCCGCCCATGCCGGCGGTGATGAATACCATGTTGGCATCGCGGAGCATCTCTTCGAGTCGTTGCTGATCCTCCAACGCCGCCTTCTCGCCGATTTCGGGATCCCCGCCGGCACCCAGACCTGCGGTAAGGCGTGACCCGATCGGCACCTTCAGCTCCGATCGGCTGAGCTCCAGCGCCTGCAGGTCGGTATTCACCGCCAGGAATCGCACATTGCGAAGCCCCGAGGCGATCATGCGGTTGACCGCGTTGCTGCCGCCCCCGCCTACCCCGAGAACCTTGATCTCGGTGAGCGTCCTGGGCTCCCCGTCATGTATTTCGATCGTCATCGCTCCCCTCCTTCGATGACCGCATAGCTCATATGAATTCGCGAAACCAGCGCTTCATCCGGTCCCAAACGCTGTCGTATCCGCTCTCACTGGTATTCATGTCGAAGTGCTGCGGGCGGCGCTTGCCGTGGCCGTACATCACCAGACCTACTCCGGTCGCGAACTGCGGACTGCGGTACTCTTCCACCAGTCCGCCCAGCGGCGTCGGATAGCCTATGCGGGCCGGAAGTCCCAACACCTCGGTTGCCAGCTCCGCCGCACCGGGCAGCAACGCGCCGCCGCCGGTAAGCACCGCGCCGCCACTCAGCAGCTTCAGGTGCCCGGAACGGTCCAGTTGATCCTTCACCATGCCGAAACACCTCCGTCATCCGCGGGCGGATGATTTCCGTGAGGCGGCTCCGCTTGATGGGCCGCGCCGGGCGCCCGCCTACTCCTGGAATGCTGGCTTCGATCTCCCGGTCATCCAGATCGTCCGGATGACAGCTCCCCGCCTCGTGCTTCAGACGCTCGGCAACCTCCAGAGGGCGTCTTCAGCATGATGGAGATATCGCTCGTGACCTGGTCCCCGCCGAGAGCCAGCACGCCGGTTTGGTACGGCGCCCCGTCCAGATAGACCAGGATGTCGGTGGTGCCGCCGCCGATATCGACCAGCAACACGCCCAGCTCCTGCTCGTCCTTGCTCAGCACCGCCGCCGCAGCCGCCAGCGGCTCCAGGACGATGTCGTCGGCCTTGAAGCCGGCGCGATTGATGCAGCGAATGATGTTCTGCGCCGACGACACCGCACCGGTGATGATATGCACCTCCGCCTCCAGCCGCACGCCCATCATCCCCACCGGGTCCCGGACGCCGTCCTGCTGATCGACGGTGAACTCCTGCGGGATGACGTGGACGACCTCGCGGTCCATCGGTATGACGATCGCCTTGGCGCATCGATACACGCTGCTCCACGTCCTCACGCGTGATCTCACGGTCCCCGTGACCGCCCGCACCACGCACCGCGAGTTGATCCACTCGATGTGGCCGCCGGCTATGCCGGCGAAGGCTCCGGTAACTTCGCGGCCGGACATCATCTCGGCGGCCTCGACAGCGTTCAGAAGCGACCGGACCGTGGCGTCGATGTTGGTGACACGCGCGCGCGCAGCCCACGTCGACGGAGTGGTGCGACGCGATGAGCTCAGGCGGCCTTCGTGCCGATCTCGGCGCGATGACTCGCGCACACCTTGCTGTACCGATATCCAGGCCGACGAGATCAGGTCATCCGTGCCACGCGACTCTCACCGCCCTAGCCGCCCGCCGACGCGCCCGCGGCGCGGCCGCCTGCGATCGTGACGCAGCCGACTCGACATAGACGGCCTCACCGGCGAGCAGGAAACGATTCTCCGACGGCACGTGTGAGAGCCGTCGGCGCGAGCACGTCGAGCGCCACGAAGGCAGCCGGATAGCTTCCCGTACCATGCGCGGACCCAACCGCACCGCACGGATCGATACACTCGGATAGACACGACAGGCTCGAGCGACGCGTCGTGGTGGTCACCACCACCTCCGAAATCAGGCCGTACAGACTGGAGTCCCGATCCCGGATGGACGACGCAAGGGCGGGAGGAGGGGGAAAAGGGAGGGAAGGAAACGCCGGGCAAACAGGTCCCATGGGGGAGCGTGAACTCCGGTAGCGGCCGGTTGGACAAACCGGAGGCCGGACACGATCGGCAGCTCCTGGAGTCGTGCCACGGGTTCAACCTCGAGAAGGACCAAGGGAAGACCCGTAGAAAAACCACCGAAACGTAAGGACGTCAACTAGTCAGCAGAGCAACATGGCACCAGGCGCCGGCGCCGAACCACGTTGACCTCCAGCGTGCCGGGGATCCGCGTTCGGACGGATGCCGTTCTGACACCATCGGATGGCGGCTAGCGGCGGCGGATGGCATTGCGGATCGATTCCGTTCGAACACGTGATCGGTGCCGTCGAGTCCCGCGATGCGTTTCAACTCCACGGTCGAAAGCGGAAGGTCGCCATAGACGACGATCCTCTTGATCAGCAGCTGAGGGGCGATGAAGCTGCTGATCAGGATTTGGGTCAGGAGTCCCACGACCACGACGCCGGATCAATGAAAACCAGCACAGTAGGGCATAAGAAACACAGGGATCAAATGGGGAGCAGCCGGCTGTGAACGGATGGCCCCCGTCGCGAAGGATGTCCCGCCGACCGTGCGCCGGCTGATGCCGCACAGGACGCCGGCCATCGCGAGCGTCATCACCATGGCCGATCCCCCGGAGGAGAACAGGGGCAACGGAATCCCGGTCGCCGGCAGCAGGCCGGCGACCACGGCGATATTGGCGAATGCCTGACGTGCACGGTGAGTGACACCACACGCCAGGTAGGCGTCGAAACGATCCTGAGCCATTCCGGCATCCTATAGCCGCGGGAAGCGAACGCCACGAACAACGCCAGCACGATCACGACGCCGATCAGCCCGGTCTCCTCGCCGACGACCGCGAAGACGAAATCGGAATGGATCTCCGGAACTTCGCCGAGCTTGGTAAGAAATGTCCAAGAACAAGAACGTAAGAACCGCGGAGGTCAGCGCCTGAGCAGCCCCGCCAGCCTCTGGTAGCCAGACGGTCGGGCCGCCTCCGGATTGAAGAAACGATATCACCGCTCGACACGATGCACACGCGTGAAGACAGATAGCCGCCGAGGGATACACCACCGACGCCAGGGCGGACGACAAAAAGTAAAGTCCGGAACTGCACACGGGCTACGAAGAAGATGATGCCGGTTACCAGCATCAGCAACGCTGCGGTGGAAAAGTCGTTCTGGAGGTAGATCAGCGCCGCGAAGACGCACACCACGATGACCGGCGGCAGCAAGCGTGTTCATCGCGTCGTGTCCTGGCCCTCGTTACTGCGCGACCAAATCGATCCAGATAGAGGACCAGCGTCAATTGACCAGATCCGACGTCATACGAGAAGATCCCGGCCACAGCAGGACAGCGTTCGGCCACATGAATCGGAGTGCTGATGACCGGAATCAGAGTAGCGGCATCAGAAACGGCCGGCCGACAGGGCAAGCAAGGGTATCGACAGGCGCTTGAGCACCTCGCTGTTCACGCGTGAGGCTACCACTGCCGCGATCGTCCCCATGACGATGAACAGCGCTTGGCGCCTGACGAAGTACAGCGAGTCGCCGAACGCGCGCTCCGCGTAGTAGTGCGACGCCGAGAGGAGTACCCCCAGTCCGATGCCGGTAAGCGTGATCAGGATGACGATCAGCGTCAGATCGACCCGGCGCGCTCCCGCCGGCGCATCGCCGTTAGCCATCGCCGGGGCCTTCGCGATCTTGGGGGTCGACGCCGAACACCGGGAGCAACCGTTCGATGCCGAACGCGCGTGAGGCCTTCAGCAGCACCAGATCGCCGTCCAGGACGATGGCGCGCAGCCTGTCGTCGATCTCTTCCATGGTTCCGTCAGATCGCTGCGGGTCGAGTGCCGGAGCACCGTCTCCTGGCGAACGCCTGGCAGAGCGGACGCGTGGCCGCGCCGAAGCAGCACAGGACATCCACTCCGGCGTCGATCAACGGTCGCAGCAGATCGACATGCGCGCGGGCGCTGTAACGCCCGAGCTCCAGCATCGGCCCAAGCACCACCACCCGACGAACGGCCCGATCACCGGATTCCGGCCGCGGAACCGCGTCGCCCGACCCCGTGTCGCCCGACCCCCGGTCGGACGACACGCGTCGGCCAGCACGGCCAGAGCCGCCCGGACCGATTCGGGGTTGGCGTTGTATCCGTCGTCGATGACGGTGCACCGCGCACGACGCACGCGGAGGCGGCCGGGCGCCGGTCGTACGGCTTCGATGCCCGCGGCGACGGTTGCCGGACGCACCGCAAGCTCGTCGCCACGGATCAGCGCCGCCAGTGTGCGTTTGGTCAAGGTTCTGGCGACCGGGTAGAGAGAAGTGGAATGGGAGCCTCACCAAGGATGGACCAGCCATCCAGCCCCAAATTCTCGCTTCGCTCATACCCGATCGTCGAATTCGATCCAAAGCGAACGACCTTGGCGCGAACACCGGCCAGCAGCAGATCGGCCGCCGGTTCCCCCTCCCGCAGGTAGACGCGACCGGCCGGCGCGACCGATCGCAGCAACGCGCCCTTTTCACGCGCGATATATCGGCGGTGCCGAGCCGACGACGTGCGCGGGACCGGGTGTTATCACGCATGGTCGGCGCGCCAGCGCCCCGCGTAGCCGCTCAATCTCGCCCACGAGGCGATGCCGACCTAAACACCGCAAAGCGCTCGTCGCCGGTAATGCGCAGAACCGACATCGGAAAGGCCGATTCTCGCGTTGAACGACGCTTCGAAAACCAGGATGCGGTGCCCTGGAGAAAGAGATCGATCCCAGAAGTCCTTCGTTCGTGGAGTCTTGCCGATGCTGCCGGACGGCATGCGCACCGCTTCCCATAGGGCGACGCTGGGTCAGAGTGCCAGGTGTACAGGGCGGTCAGGGGTGGCGGCCGCGATCAGCGTTCCGTGCCACACAGCCCCGCTCGACGTGCAAACCTCGATCGTGCCAAGCTCGGAGTGCCAAGCTCGGTCGTGCCAAGCTCGAATTGGCTGTGACGGGCCTGGGCCGCACCAGCGCAGCCGTGGCGCCCCGGCCGAAAGGCGTCGTGCACGAAGTCGGCCGTCGCGTGCTGACCCCGAAGGGCTATCAAACAGCGACCGGATCGCGAATGAAGCGAATATTGAGTCCCGATACACACGCGCGCGTCGGCGTTAGCCGCGGATATCCGGTCACCGAGCATGGGGCCGGCGATATCGGGCACGGGGTAGACATCGTCACGGTACCCTGCCGTGGACGACGGGCCCTGCGCCCGGCTCGACGATGGTAACAGAGGTCCCGCGCTGATCGGTTCCAGTCCCAATTCCGCTAGGCGAGCTCCGCTATGCGGTGCGGCGACGGTAGTAGATCGCGATCGAAGTCAGCAAAACCGCGTTCTGATCCGCCACTCGGCCGTCTCGTGATCAGTGCCCGAAATAGGGGAAAGAAGAGGCCGGTGCAACCCGCTCCGGTGGTCACCAGCACCGCAAGCGGAATCACAACGCCACGAAGCTCGTGAGAAGACGCTTGGCGTCCGCCGAAGGTAACGGAAGTAGCTAAAGACAGAGAGGGAGAGCGAGCGCAGACGCGGGGTGGGTTTTGACCAATAGGCGTAGCTAGGCACCTCGGGCAGTTTGTAAGGAGAGGCAAAGGGAGGGACGTGCGCGGCCGGATATGTTTCACGATGCTTCGTCGATAGAGGAAAGGCGACACGGCAAGGCGAACGCCCGAAAGAAGAGATCTGGCGGCGGACTGCGA